TGTGTGTGTGTGTGTGTGTGTATTGTAATGACACAGGCTGAGATGGTGGATGAGCGCTGGGAGGTGCAGGTGGAGGGGGGCCCCGGGGGAGATTGGAAGGCCTGTGTGGCTGAACCTCCTTGATGGATGTTGGGTTGGGTGTGTGGCTGTTCTCAGAGTTCTCTGAGGATACACCAACTCCACACCCAGAATTTGGCATGGGGGTGAAGTTTGGAAGGACAGGAGTGGGGACACTGAGGCAGTCCTAGTTCAGCTGTGGTTGGAGGTGGGTCAAATCAGGGCCCCTGCTTCTCAAGTCCTCACCCCCACCCCACCTTCTTGTGCCCCTCCCAGGGTCCAAGGGCAAGATGATCTCCAGGGTTTTGATGTTGGGAGTGGGAGGTCCATTCCCCAGCCCACCCCACCAGCTCCGGAGAGTGATGTTGTAGGTGTGAAGCCAGTGGGCTGGTGTCTGAGCCTCAGCCTGGTGGGGGCCATGCCCTGGGCCTGCCATGAACCTGGAAGGGCTGGAGATGGTCGCTGTGCTCGTGGTCCTCGGGCTGTTTGTCAAGGTCCTGGAGCAGTTTGGTCTCTTTGAGCCTGTCCTCTTGGAAGGTAACCTAGGTGTCTCTGCCCTGCAGTATTAAAGCGGGTTACTCCACCCGCCCTCACGGCTGGGGCAGGAGAGTGGTGGGATGGGCCACCTTCTAGAGGTGAGGAGAGGCCATTCCGGAGAGGAGCTGCATGAGGGGTGGGTCAGCTGGAGGGGTGAGGAATGGGGGACTGGGGTGTGGAGATGAGATGAAGTTAGTCTGGGGGCCCGCAGGAAGGCGTCTGGAGAGGAGGAAGGAGACTTTAGGGTGGTGTGATAATACCATACTGCTCTGGAGTTCCTTTGAGAGCCAGGGGCCAGTCTGTCTTGGCTCTGAAGATGGTTCTTCATCCTCCCACCATACAGGGGTGGGACTGAGTGCTCATGTGTGTTAGAGTGGAAAAATGCGTGACCCTGTGTGTGTGTGTGTGTGTGTTTTGTGATGAATCACTGTTAATTATGTTTAGTTATGTTATATTTGTAACAATGAAAATACATCTGAGCCCCCAATAAAATGATTTTTTTTAAAAAGAAAATACATCCTGCATATCAGATTTTTACATGATGATTCGTAGCAGTAGCAAAATGACAGTTATGAAGTAGCAGCCAAAATGATTTTATGGTTGGGGTCACCACAACATGAGGAACTGTATGAAAGGGTGGCGGCATGAGGAAGGTTGAGAACCACTGCTCTAAGGCGTGAGAGACCCAAACTAGCTCCTGAGTGGCCAGCAGAGGAGCTAGCCTGCTGGAGAAGAGCCCTCCTTCCAAGCTTCCCCTCCTCACCTTCGGGCAGAGGGTGGGCTTACTGGCGGGCGATCAGACGGCGCAAGGTGGACGCCTGACCCCAAGTGGTGGCCATGCAGAACTGCAGAGGACCAGCCTCTGCCCAGGCTTTAGCCAGAGAGAAAACTCCT